GCAAGTTCTTCACGTGTAAATACATCAGGATATTGAGTTTTTTCAAACGAACGTTCTAATTGATGTAATTGATAGGTTGAAAATGTTGTTCGACTACGTCGTACTTTTCGTGGTCGTTCATCACAACTATGTTGTTCAGTTGATGAATCACGTTCTTCATCATTTATTGATAATTTATTATTGCTATTGTCTGATGATGAACTTGGAAGAAGTAGAATAGATGATGGAGATAGGATTTCAGGTGCTAAATAAAATTTAAAAATATATATATTGATTGATTCAATAGTTTTCTTTCTTTTATTGTTAATGAAGTAATTGACAAGACATTCTTTCTTTTCTCTCCGAACAATAGAAATTGATTAAGTCTTATTATATATTAAATGAAGATGTATAGAAAACATAATTGAAATGATATCTTAATAAAAGCGAAGAAGACGAAGACGAAGAGAGGTATCTGTTCTTACCTTCCGTTGTTTGTCGTTTATTAGGTTGATGTTCATCATTATCATCAGAATGTTTTCGTTTCAGTTTATTCGTTGTTGTAGTTATTGTTGTGGAATTATTATTTCCAAGTATACAAGCTATTGTAAAGCCTCGCATTGAAGAAATTCGTTGTCTATATATATTTATATTTATATGAATATGTCAGTGTTTTTATTCAATTATTAAATGTAGTGGATGATTTGATCGTGAGTGCACACCGAGGAAAAGAAAAAACCTTAGTTGTGACTATATGTGTTCGATGATAATTATATTCGCTTTCTCTCTGTCTCTCTGTCTCTGTCTCTGTCTCTCTTTTTCTTCCGCTGAGGGAGAAAATGGAGTGCATCGAGCTATTCCATTGGTGCATATTAAGAGAGGGACGGTTCGTATGTTGTAATCAACAAACCAATATAATCATTTCACGCGCGTGCATATTGTACATGAAAAGAGAGAAAGGAGGAGAAACCATACTCGAAGTTTTTTTTCTTCTTCTTCTCCCCTTCAAGCTTCTGTATGTGTTCGTTTCGGTG